TTCTAGCCATTGATCTCATGCCAACTGTCCAGTGTGTCCAAGCTAAGGTGATGTCACCCTTCTATTTTTTTCTACCCCACATAACATGATCTTATGTGTGCAGATGAGGTGTCTGTTCCAGAGGATACATAAATGTTTGTGGGTTTTTTTTTTCAACCTGAGTAGTTTTATCTTCTGTATTTAACTCAGTGACAGATATGAGGAACATAAGATCCTTCAGGATGAGTCTCCCATTTGCCCAACCTAAACACATAGCTTGGAGGCCAATTCTGAATTTCAGTCTTCTAGTTTAAATAACAGTAAATCATTAGGATTCTCTAATGACAATTAGCATTGGATATGCCTTTGCAGACTTACATACAAATGCAACCTCATGGACATGAACAGAAAATTCCAGGGCCCCTACATCTAAATTGCCGAGAATGCCCTATAAAAGGACCTTGTTTATAAAGGGAAAGGCATAAGAGCAGTGCCCTGGACTTCACTATCTTCTTTCAGAATGCTAAGGGCCCCCTTGTCAGTGGGTGCAACCTGCTCCTCTGGGGGTGCCATTGTTGATCCAGAAAGGGATTGAAGCCCCAGATCCATTTCATTGCAAGAGACATTGTGCCTGGTCACCCACACCTGAGAGTGGAACTTTGCAGTCTCCTTTCTTCCTGACCACCTCAGCACGTTCCCTTGGCTGCCTGGCTGTGGAGTACACCTTTGGGTGTCTCCCAGTCCTTTCTCTTTGATTCTCATCAGCTGTGTGTTTAGAACGTTCTCATTTTTTTTGGTGCAGAAGTCTCCCAGCTCATCTCCTTGCCTGCTACTTTGTTTCCTTGTTATGCATCTGATCATGAGTCTTCCCCATTTCAACAGCTCCATGTGATGGTGGCAGTGGTGGTAGTGTGGTGGCTAACATTTATTGAGTGCTTACTATAGTAGGGCCAACATGATTCTAATTTTAGTTTTCCTCAAAGCCTCCTTAGAAAGAAATTACTGCTGAGGTACAAAGACTATATGAGTTTTTCAAAGTCAGACAAATAAGGGGGCCAGGATGGTGCCCCAGCAGTGACGGCCAGCTCTCCACTTGCGTGTAAGAGTCCCTTTAGTTTCAGGCAGGACTCCCTCTCCAGCTCTGCCATTTCTCCCCAAGCAGGTGGAGAGGTTTGCTATCCCTCAGCCTGGCCTCAGACACGCACATGTCTTCCTCCACACTCCTACCACCCTTTCTGTCTTGGTTATTGCTAAGGTGATAGACTTTTAATGCCTTGTAGTAAGATAGTTAGAAGCTTGCAATGTGCATATTGAAATATCAGCCCAGCAATGATCAAAAGTGGTTTTTCACACTCAAAACTGTGAACTTCACTCTCTAGGTCCTGATAGAACCTTGTGGCAGAGATTAGGGTCTTAGTCCCCTATCTCCAATATCTTTAGGAAATCAATCCATGTTTACATAGGATGGGCCGGGCTATTATTTATATGAATGATAAAAAGTGAGTCTGAATTGCTCTGAAGTTCAGAATATTATAACTAAAAGAGAACATCCAGTCCAGAGTCTGATGTGGAAGTCCGATTGCAAAGCAGACTGAGATGGGCACGGTAGCCGGCAGATATCCTGAGGTAGTTCTGCAAAACTCACACTCTGTGGAGTCTGCAGTTTGGAAATCACTAACATAGTCCAACTCCTCGACTATGGAGATGTGAGAGTTGAGGTTCAGCATGCTAAAGTGACTTGTCCAAGGTCACACAGCAATTATTTGGAGTGTTGGGCCTCCCTGGTGGTGCAAGGGGTTAAGCACAGCACTATGAAGCTATCCGCAGCCTCTGCAGTACAAGTTCAATCCCCGGCCAGCCTGGGAGCTACCCACATGGCACGGCAGGCCTTTCCTGACTCACCCGCTGCTCCCCTCAGCAGGGTATTTCAGTTAGTCTGCCTGTTCTGTTCCCCATTCTGTCTCTGATGAATTCTCTACCCCTCACACCTCTGGCCTGTACCCCAGTTCTTGTGTGCATAAATAAATCTTAAAAAAATTATTTGGCGTGTTGAGAAGAAGATAAAATCCCAAGGTGAGACTTCCCAGAGGTAGGCACCTAGCTGTTGTTCTTCCTCCACATTATAATAGTGCAGATAAAAACTAGGTGGTGATAGCAACCATAGTACATACCTTTTCCAACATAGCAGAATTCTGGGAACTCTAGCCCTAGATCTCCTTCCAGTGAGCTCTCTTGGTAGCTGAGCAGTACATATTTGCAGCAAGGTTATATGGCATGCATTCCGAGAGCTGGGTCCTGGAGCAAGCATGCCTATATCCTATCCTTTTTCCCAGAAAGCTGCTTGATTTCTTTCATTTTCTCATCTGAAAATGTGCCAGGTTTATAAGGTTGCAGAGAGGATCTAATGATAGTGCCTGTGAGTATCTCGTGTGGCTGGGTTCAGGGTTTGTGGGAGTGATGATGGTACCACTTAGGTGGTGCTGGCAGTGCTAAAAGCTGAGGTGGTACTGGTTACTGTTCAGGCTGCTTTGGCATCTGCCTCTTTTTCTGATGTTTGACGTCCTGTTCCTTATCTTAGCTTTATGCTCCTGCTTTCACCTTACTGAAATGGAAAAATGTTGTCATGCTCACTAAATGTAGCTTCTAGAGGGTTCTGGACTGTTGGAGATGCTCCCTGGTCACCCCCATCCTTAGCTTGCTCCCTTCCATCCTTTCTCACAGCTTGGCCTTTGATTCTCTCTTCACGCCAAATTCTCTTCCAAAAAGTTTCTTGCTTGATGGTTCATGGGACTGCCTAGGTGAGCTCTCAAGGCATGCCCCAGACAGGCCTTCCTTGTTATAATTGGAACATGTGGGAGACTTTCAGACTCAGAGAACTCCTCACCTCCCCCCAAATTGCACGCACCACTTACCATGAACTATTCAGGGGAAACAAACTGAAGTAAATGAATGATTAGTAGAAGAATGTGGATATGCTATGAAGCGAATATGTCGCTCTTTATTGTGGTTATGTAATAGGCTGCAGTACCTAGCCCAGGAATGTGGAATAGCTGGGGGTCAGCAGAGTACAATGGGGTCACTATAATGGGGGCTGTGTGCATGCAACTCCATGGTATACTGAGGACCAGTTCCAGAGATAACAGATAACTGGCCTTGAACTTTTATTTTTTAGCAATCTCTTGGTAGCTAGAAATAGAAAATTAGTTTCTATAGCTAAGAAATAACTCTTTTCAAAAAGCATCAGTAACAGTGGTTCTCAGAATACAGTTTCTGGATCAAGAATATCAGCATCCCTGGGGATGTTACTTGCAACTTCTAGGGTGCACCCCTGGACCTACTAGGTCTTTGGGGCTGGGGATCAGCAGTGACACCCCCAATTCTGATATGCCCAAGTCTGAGAGCCACTCGACTCCTGATTTATCTATCTCCCAGACCATGGCTTTGATAGGAAGATGTGTGGGTGGTGGGGGAGGGTGGTTGCTCTGTAAACCTGCATTAGGTGCTGGCTCTTGATTCATCTTTATTCCAAGGTTGAGGTGTCCAGATAAGGAGAAGTAGGTGCATCTGGTTCTATATTCTTTGATCAAAGAATATCTGTAGCTTGTGGATAAGAGAGAAAGGATTGACTGATACATTTTTCTAAAATCAGAATGTTAAAAATGAAAACTCATAATAGATTTAAAAAATCTACTCAAGATATAAACCACATAACTGCTTAAATTCTGTCACTTTTTAGAATGTAACTTCCATTAACATGAATTTTATGGATAATACTATATATAAAATACATATATATACTATAAAAATATGAATAGTAGTTATTTATATACTACATAAATAACTATATCTAACTATCTATATTTATATACACATACACCCCCCAACAATATTTCCACCAATCTTTAATTTTTATTTTTTGAGGGTATTGAGTATAGCCCTGTGTTACTACAAACTTCTAATATTATCCCTCCTTTTCCTTAAAGAATTTTATGACATATTTATTGTGGTATCAAATAAAATCATTATAGTCATAAGCATTTTATGATACTCTGCATAATCTTTGAAACTATCCTGGAAGTTGGAAACTTAGGGGTTAATAATCCTGGGCTAGACACTAAAGGGTGATTCTCAAATTGGATAGAAAGAAATCATCAGCTGTGTATAAACAAGTAAAAATTTGGGAGTTGAATATATGAAAACCTTTTCTATCATTTTCAGAATTTCAAGTGGGAAATGAAAGAATCTGTACCCCACATTCCATAAAGTGGTAGTTTAACTAGAGATGAGGTACCCGGGGGTTGACAACGCTAGAACATGTGAATGAGCTTAAACTCTTAGCAGATTGCCTGCATCAAGTAATCATTTCAGCACACTTACTGCTAAAAGTTTCAGTTTCCCAAGGAAATAATAGGAACTCTGGGATTTATTGTCAGGAAGTGTGAAATTGAATCTAGACTTTACTGAACTCTATAACTTGAGGCAAATGTCTCAACTTTCTAGGCTGTACTTATTTGGCTTAAGGATTTTTATTTTAGTCTGTAAAAAATGATAGGTGTTGGTTTTAGATGAACAATTTCTGTTTTGCCACCAAAAAATAATTTTTATGTACACAGTGAAATCAGAATTTAGATAGGACAAAGGAGATTTTGTGGCTAGAATTTGCTAGTCTGAACAAATTTTGTATGCTTTTCGATAATCTTTCTTGTAATCTTTTCAGAATCTGGGTTTAGAAAAAATGTGGCAGATTAAATCTTTTGAATTAATTATAGGGCAGATTATCTTTGAAGTTAGAATATGGGTTTTATGATATTTTTGCCTTTAAATATCGTTGGCTCTGGTTGATAGCAACTTTTCTTAGTATATTATTTAGTAGGCATACTGAAAATGTTACTGCTTAGTTTGTAGAATTCACAGGAGCCGGCATGTTCACAGGTATTTGCATTTTATTTAGGTTTGACTGCTTGACTGTATTTTTTAAATGTAAAGTATAATGCTATTAAATCTGAAATATTTTCTTGCAGTGATCCATACGTGAAACTTTCTTTGTACGTAGCAGATGAGAATAGAGAACTTGCTTTGGTTCAGACAAAGACAATTAAAAAGGTATGTCTTCTTCTTTAATTAAACTTTATTTAGTCAAAATGTGACAGTTAAGCTAAGTATTTTGGCTCTGTGTAAGTTTATATTTTAAATTAATGGTGGAAATATTTTCACTTTAAGGCCTCTCATAATATTAAAATCTATAAATTAAACATAGATCAAAAAATTTTTTGTATTAATCTGATATTGCTTCTGGCTTTTAGTTAAGTGACTATAAAAACAGATTTTTTTATTTTTATTTTTTTTAATGTGGCACCTGCTCTACCACTTCCATTATTATTTTTTTTAAAGATTCATTTATTTTTATACAAGAACTGGGGTACAGGCCAGAGGCATAGGAGGGTGAGAAGATTCATTAGAGACAGAGCGGGGAGCAAGCAGAACAGGCACAGACTGAAATACACTGCTGAGGGGAGCAGTGGGCGAGGCAGGAGAGGTCTGCTGAGCCATGTGGGTTTCTCCCTGGCCAGCCGGGAATCGAACCTGCTTTGCAGAGGCTGCGGACACCTTCACAGCGCTGCGCTCAACCCACTGCGGCACCAGGGCAGCCCAAAAACAGATTTATTTTTAATTGAAATAATATTAGGATATACCCATTAAGACAGTATTGTAACCAGTGTTCCAAGTAGCAATTTTCTCCTCTGCAAAGAATACAGTAAAACAAGGATTTGTTCTTATTAGCTTGTTATTTTTCATAAAGAAATTTAAAATACATTTATTTGAAATGGAGTTGGTTTATGGAATTGGTAAAGACAAAAGGAACGGTGTAACTTGAAATAAGCATTGCCAAAGTAAGAAAAATATTTTCTTAAAAACAAAACAATAATAAAACGAATTGTGTCTCTTCTAAAATTTCACACACAAAACTTCATGACAGGCTTGTTGCCACAATTATACCTTCATCCACCATCTCCATGTTCTTATATACATAGATAAAATATAAACAAGTATTTAAACCATATTTGGGCCATTTATTGAGATGCATGTTTTCTATCAAAAGTGTTGCTTTATCTGTGCTTTAGTATTGTTTATAGATAACTATTATTTTCCCCTCACCACCTTTGGGGGGCAGATAGTCTAACAGTTCGTGTGATAAGCATTTCCTGGAGAGCCGCGGTGGCTTTTTGAAAAAACTGCCATTGTGCAGATGCCCGGGCTCCGTGACCAGGTCACTTTGTGTACGGATCAGCCATCCTGGCGTGTCCGCCACCTGGCATTCGGACTGGCATTACAAATCTGTTTTGCAAACAGGAGCCCGTTTTGATTAGTGGGGAGGATTTGCAGGAAGGACGGAGGCCATTGTTCTGTTAGCTGCTGTCACTGGCTCTGTTATCAGCGGAGCGAGGCGCTCCTTGTCCGCCAGGCAGGCAGGCGCCTGGTCACCAGCTGAAGGCGGAGGGGAGCAGAGAACCAAAGCCAGCGATCTGGGATATTGAGATGTTTTTTCTTCGGAGGGGAGGTCCTCCTCCCTGCTCTCCTCGGCAGAGGGTGTAGCTGGAGCTGGGCTGCTCTGCCTTGCTGGCAGCCAGCCTCCTGGTTAGTATTTCTGTGCTCACGGTGTAAGGACTGCTTTCATCCGCCTCTCCTCGTGGCCGTGTGCTTTTGGTCTTCCATGCGTTTTGTGGTCTCATGTCATTGTTTTTGTCCCCCACTGCCACCCCCGTCATTTGCATCTCGCCCCCTTGCATATCTGTGGAGCTGCAGCCCTTGGCAGGCCTGGGCCAGCCCTCTCTACCGGGCTGCCCAGCGCCACTCCCTTCTTTCTCTGCCCTCCTCTCACTCATTACCATCCGGCTCCATTCAGAGCTAAAAGTATAAACCCGATTATTTAGGATTGGGGTCACTGTGGAGTTGGGGGTGGGGAAAGTGCTGGTTATTTTTAATGTCAGTTCAATAGTGTATGAATTTTTATTTTTTTTTAATTTTATGTGCATTTTGTTATATATTTTTTTCTTCCTGCACTAGTAGGTGAAAGGAAATAAAGACAAATGTCACTCTGACTGAAAAATACCTGTAGTCTGACTAAAAAATACCAGTGAGATTGTGTCTTTTGGTCTCAAATTTTTAGATATAATTTTAATGAGAGGTGTTGATTGAAGAGCATTTTGCAGGTGCACGGCAGGTATGGGTGTATCTTTCATCGTATTGGCTGCCCCTTAGTTTCAAAGCATGTTTGGCAGTCTATCCTTTGTTCATGCTAAGGACAAAAGTATCCATTCTATGTCCTTGTGAGATAAAGATTTAAATTGATTAATATGGAGATGGATGGATGAGTGGACAGAGAGGACTGAAGGATAAGTAGATAAATATTTTCAAGTCTGATTATTTTGAAAAAAAAAAAAAAACAGAATTGACTTTAGCTTGTCATCAGGTTTTTTTTTTTTTTTTTTTTTTTTATATATGATCTGATCATCAATATTGTTCTTTATAAAATGCTCTTCAGGTTTCAATATTTTTATCAATAGCAAAACACTTTCACTCTAATCCCACCTGCTTCTTTGCTCTCCAAAGCAGATTTGTGGCAGGTTGAGGAAGTGGGCAAAGTTCATTTCCTTCTTGATAGAATAATTATATCAGTGTTAATTTATTGAAAGACAGCCTTATATTTTTAATGATGATGGCTCTTTGTCAGATCCCTGACATTTTCCTGGTTGGTATGGTTTCCTATATATATGAATCATCGGTTTCATAACTAACATCCCTTCTGCATTTTTTTTTGTGTGTTTATAGAATAGTCTCACGTAATTGGCTAAGTTCTTCATGTATTGCCATTTCGAAAATCTCTTAGCTATTTTTTTAATCAAGAAACATGTTTAAGAAAATATGTGGACTGCATTGTACTAGTGACTATTCATGTTCAAAGACTGTAAAAGATATTACAAGATAATTTCTCTTCCAGACGCTGAACCCAAAATGGAATGAAGAATTTTATTTTAGAGTAAGTTCTTCGTTTTTTGGTAGTGATTCTCTTTGATAACCTGATATAGCATCAAAATAGATTGTTATTGAGTGAAAGCTATTTTTATTGTATTTTTTTTTTTAAATATGAGAAATGCCTGGGTGTCCTGAGGTGTCCCAAATTTCCAGACTGTGAATAGTGGTAAAATCTTGACTTATTTCATTTGGAGATGTTTTAGGGAAGTAAAAAAGACAGTTTTCTAAATACCATGTCTTAGCTTTTCTACTCAATTTTTTCCTTAAAAGTTATATAAAATGTAACTAAAGCAATAATTTAATTATTTCTATGAGTCATGGGTCATGAATTATTTTAGAGAAAGAATAAAACAATAGAGGCAAATGACTAAAAAGAAACCTAAAAATTACAAGTCATGTTTGGTTAGGAAGGAAAATTTTTGTAATTCAGGTGTTCTGTGTGAGTGTATCTGTAGGGATAAAATTATTTCTGGAGTTTAAATGTCACTGAATCAGGTAACACTTCTTCAACCTTTTATATTTAATATGTAGAAGAATTATATGTAGAAATGACTGAATTCTGTGAACTGAAGTAGATTACTCTGTACTGATTTTTAGCAGTTGCTGCTAGTGTTTTTTCATACTGAAATTTTAGAAATTTTAGCAATATTACAACACTCAGTTACTTAGTGGAAAGAAAGTGGGTTTTTCTTTCTCTTTATAATGGATAAATTAAATTTTGTAGTAGTGATATTCAATTACTTGATCTCTAGAAGTGCCCCAGATGAGATCTAATGATTAGTGTTGCTTCCCAAAAACCATATTACCATTAGGCCCATTATAATTTTCCTAATTTCTTTCAATCACGGTAGTATTTTTTTGTGCTCCAAACTTGGTCTATATATGACCTCTCTTTTCTCTGTGTCCACAGTTGGATGATGGTATTGGTATTTTAACACTTGGTGAGCCCCTACCTGTAGCCTATACTAGATGTATTGTGAATTACTTCACTAAGGACTGAAAACCTGATCCGCAGATAGATGTGACTGGCCCTTCAATAATTCTCAAGTAGAGCTTCCCACTTGTAAAATACCAGGTTACTGAGCTCCTCCTTTCGGTTGCACACTTTGACCACATTATGTAAATTTTAGTACATACACCTTTTTTTTCAGTTAATGTTGGTTTTATGAAAATGTAAATTCTATACATTAGGCCTTTATTTATTAGACAAATCTTTCTTGAATGTCTATTATGACCAGCTCCTACCCCACCCAGTCTGTGGACGCAGTGGCCAGCAGCCTTCTTGGGGCTTATCAAACACAAACCCTCAGTGTAACTGCCTGCTGCTCCATCTCTAGGCTGGGGCCAGGCAAGGGGCGAGAGCACAAAGCTTGTCCAATGTGCTGTCAAATATATTTTTTTTAATTTTTAAATTTTATATATTTTTTACACCATTTTTCATTTTTGCACAATGTATGCATTTTCCTCTTGGTTATAGTCCCTGTACAATTCCCACCCCCTTGTTTTGATCCTACTCCCTCTCCCCGCCCCCCTCATAGTGTGTCTCTGGTTTATAGTTGCTTGTTGATTTTGATATTATTTTATTCCACTCACCTTCTGAAGCAGTGTGACCTGGGTCACATCTCCTGCTCCAGCGCTTCCAGCCTTTGTGGCCTAGGAAGAGCCCCTGTGGACTCACCTCTGTGGGTTCCTTCCTCTCTCAAGGAGCAGAGAGGAACCCTCACTTGGTAGGGTTGTTTCCAGACTTTGCACGCAATGATGTGAATAAGAACACCTAGCACCGTGTCTCACACTTGTTGGAACTTACTAAGTGACACTCGGGGCTGAATGGTGACCCTGCCATTTTGGTGAGGTTTTGAAAGAGTAAGAAAGAAGCAAAAAGATACTGAAAGCCAGTAGCTTTGACATTGACCCCGCATTTCTGGAAGAGGGGCATTTTTTATTTATTTGTCTCTCTAAGGTTCAAGACATAGGCTCTGGGGACTGGCAGGCCAGACCTGGGCATCACTGCAGCCTCATGGTCTCAGCCCCTCACTTGCAAATTGGGGTGACAGTTAGAAAACCTAGGGTTGCTGTGAGGGTTAAATGAGAGCATGTATTTTTGATATTTATTAAGGAAATAATACCTTTTTTTTAAAAAGATTTATTTATGCATACAAGAGCTGGGGTACAGGCCAGAGGTGTGGGGGATGAGAGGACTCACCAGAGACAGAGTGGGGAGTATAACAGGCAGATTGACTGAAATACACTGCTGAGGGGAGCAGTGGGTGACACAAGAGAGGTCTGCTACGCCATGTGAGTCAGCTCCCTGGCCAGGGATTGAACTCGTGCTGCAATGGCTGCAGATAGCTTCTAAATGTTAAGAGTTAACCCCTTGCACCACCAGGGAGGCCTGAAAATACTACCTTTAAAATAAGCATGTTAGGGTCTCCCTGGTGGCGCAAGGGGTTTAGCACCGCACTATGAAGCAATCCACAGCCTCTACAGCACAAGTTTGATCCCTGACCAGCCAGAGAACAACCCACATGGCTCAGCAGACCTCTCCTGTCTTGCCCGCTACTCCCCTCAGCAGTGTGTTTCAGTCAATCTGCCTGTTTTGCTCCCCACTCTGTCTATGGTGAATCCTCTCACCCCCTGCATCTGTGGCCTGTGCCCCAGCTCTTGCATGCATAAATAAATCTTTTTTAAAAATAAAGTAATCATGTAATGGTAATGAGGACTTTTTCCATTTTCTTCATTATTTTTATTACTGATGTTATAATTTTTTATATTATTATTAGAACTAGGAGATTTCCTCAGGCATAATAGGCCCTGTGAGAATATAACCGTGGTCTACAAGCATGGGGAAGCAATTTAGAAATTTTTGAAAACTATTTAGAATTATCCTTCCTGTGTTAACAAAGCAGCCAAAACATTTTCTTCCTATATGCCTGACTACTGGATGTAGACTAATATAGCAATCAATAACTGAAAATTTTAATTAGTAGGTACAGGATTTTTGAAAGAGTAGATTAATTGTTCTCATTTCAAAATTGAACTGGATGCATTATACATTATAAAGCATTCTATCCTTTGAATTATTTATCCTTTGAATTTTTTCTGCCCATTTAAAATAATACTGTTTATGTTCTTTATAGGTAAATCCATCCAATCACAGACTCCTATTTGAAGTATTTGATGAAAACAGATTGGTAAGTAGATTCTGGTCCTTGATTTTTTGCTTTGTTTTTTATTTATTTATTTATTTTTACCTTTACAGCTCAATTTACTGTATAGAAATCATTTGGGTTTCATGTTAAGTTTTGAACAGAGACTGCAATAGTATGAAAAAAGATTGTTACTTTAATTCAGTGCTTTTTAGCATGCTAAATTTAAATACATTAATTCAAGCTTGAGATATATGGGGAACAATCTTTAAATACAATACTGACATTTCTTAGTTACCATATTATTCCCAAATGATATTTGCAACTCTAAACTGTCATACACAGAACAGTTCTCCTATGGATATGGCAAAATTGATATGCCATAACAGTCAGAATTGTAGTCATTTGATTTATTTTTCAAAAACTGAATATTTAGAGCAGCATCTCTTAACATTCTTATGTATATTGCACTTCTGACAGTAAATAGGCTCCCAAAAGATATTTTTGTCCCATTGCTGGTGCTAACAAATATTTGTGTGTGTGTGGCTAGGACAGAAAATGGATCTGTTGGACATATATGTTTTTATCACAGTTGATATTAGCGGAAGTCACACTGGTGATACCTCAAACTATATGCTTATGCTCTACTGTTGAGAACACAGAATTGTGGCAAATCTATGAAGAGACCTAGTCGTGTAAACAAACCTTTCAGGATTTTTAAATCTAAGTCAGACTAAAACACTGTGATTCATTCAATAGTTAATCTATGGTGACTTCTTTGGGAAAACAAAAATCTAAGTACCAGTATATAGCAAAAAGTGAATTTGTATTTAGCAAATAAAATTAACTTGTATTTTTGAAAGTGGTGCTGTCTCATGGGAGAGTCTCAGAAAGTACCTTTAAGCAACAAGAAATAGGCCTGAGACATAAAACTGATGTATACTTAACATTTTACATGTTGCATAAAAATGCATGCTTATTAACATTTTACATGTAGCTGGATAGTAGGTAGAGAGCTACCTACCTACCTAAAACAGGCATATCTGATATAACTAAGATTTCATTTTAGAATGGAATTTCAAAAGCAAATCTGGCTGAAAGCATTTTGCCAGATTTAACTAGCTAGAATGTTAAATACGCATAGTCAAGTGTTGCAGCCATGAAGATAAACATGCTTATATTATGTGCAAGGGTTTAAGGTACATGCAAAAGTGGGGTTATAACTCAGTGTGGTCGGTTATACTGGAATTGATCTTCTGTAAAACCTCTGTATATTATCTTGCTTAAAAGGAATGGTCTTTCCTTCACCTTCTTTCTGCAGAATTCAAGTGAAGTACTCGATTTTTGAATAGCTTGAGATGAATAGATTATATGCTCTGGAGATGCCTTTTAACAACTCATTCAGCTCCCTGTCCTTGCAAATGATAGGAGTGGGGTCTGGAGCCTTCATATCATTTAAAATTGCCAGTGGTGGAAAACGTGCTGATCTCCTTAGTCTCTGCCTAATGATTTAAACTTCTCACCCTTATTATAGAACTTGAAAATGTATTTATCGCCTATGCTTGGGATTAATTTCCTAAATTAGGAAGCCAACAGATTCTGATCGACCATCCTGATTATCTTTTTCTATGAAAAATATGGATTCTTGGTAGCTTTGCATTGTACTTGGCATTTTCTACCTTGAGTGATAATTAGTAGTACCAAATAACTAAATGTTTGCTGTGTCTAAGAAGTTCTTTTCTTCGTAAATTGGAGGCGAGATTCTGCTTAGGGTATAGTTCTTAGCACTCCATGTCTCCCTGAGTACATGAATTAGGCAGTAGTGTGACACGAAGTCCTCGAGGACATAGTGTGTCCAATCTCATTTATCAAGTATAGTAATTCTCCTTCAGAGAGAAGATAGGGTCAGATTCCTCTTGTTAGGTGTGTTTTAATTCATTATTTGATTCATTTTCTTAAGAGAAAGTCACTACCTAGGGAAGTAAAGTTTCCCATCTCAATCTAAAACAAAGACTGTACCCTTGCCATGGACCCAAACAAAAAAGGGCTTTGAAGGCAGAGCACTAAGAAATCTGGTGTGAATACAGGCTTTATCTGAAAAATCCATGTTTTAGGATATTAATCCCTAGCTTGGTTCCACAGTGTTGTCACTATGCCCTGAATGCTGAGGGTTGCTGCTCTCCCTTTGTTGGCTATTAATCCAGCGAAGACAATACGTGACTGTCGTGGTTCTTGGCAGTTTCAGCATTAAACAAACAGGCTTCCATTGCGCTCATAGAGATCATTTTTGGCATTTAAAACACATGCCTTGAGAAAACAGGTTTGGATGTATGTAAACACAGGGTTAATCCTCCACCCTTGACTCCAGAGCTGTTGACAAAGTCATGCTTTGTGGATTTTAAAATAAACTTTTTCTCATTCTTCGCAGCTTGATATTTTCCCCTCCTATTTTTTCCTCCCTCCTAAATAAGCCTCTGTGAAATAACTGATGTTTCTGGACCATGGAAAATAGTAAGTTGAAAACACAGAGACTATCTTCATGTGAACTGTAAACTCAAGGACAGATGTTTGAACATGTGCTTCTGTATTCTATAGGTCCTTTCTGCAAAAGTAACAAGATTCCATGTTTCTATCCCAATTGTGACAATATCGCTGACTTTTTACTGGGAAACAGTTCCCAGCAGCATTTTTCCTGTGTGGTATTTAAGTTAATTTACTACAAAAACCACATGCACACCCCTCTTCAGCTTACTTTCCCTGGGGGTGCTTTTTCTCCTGTCTAGCAGGTGGGAGAGAGTATTCCCACCAGCTCTGGTACTTCCATGTCTGGCGATCATGTATGTGTGATATCATGCCACATATGGGTCACACATAGGCACACACGTGCACCTGCATTTAAAATACAAAGCCTTTTAGTAACAGCAGGCAGTGCACTAACCAGCAGTGTTGTAACGTGTGCCCCACCCCCACTTAGCTATTTTGTCACTTGTAGATCATGGTCTAATTATTTAGCATTAAAGTGACACTGATTCTGTGGGATGTGTGATTGTATTTATAGTGTGTTTTATTAGTTGGCATTCCCTGGTGGTGGTGTGGTGATATCATAAATAACAGAGAAACCTAACATCACATGCTGGTGACAGGTTTTCCTGCAGCTCGGGCATTTCTCCTTGTTATTTGTTTGGGCTGGGGGGTGGGGAGCCGGAGTGCATTCCTGTGCTCCATGCCCGTCCCTGGCATGGACCTGCGCGCCGGAGTGCCCGCTGCTTGGGGCCAGGAGCTTGGGTCCTGTGAACGCGATGCCTGCGGGTTTGGATCGACAGCGAGAGCAGCTCCAGTGTGTGTGCTGCCTTCGTCAGCTGCGAGAGCTCCCTGCTGGGGCCACTCCTGTCTGATGGAAAAGCAGCAGCTGGGAAGGTGCTGTTTCAGGCTCTTGCTGTTTAAAAAAGAGAGAGCGCAAGTGAGAGGGGGCAAGCTGCACGGAGCCCACAAGCTGGCATTGGAGGGGGAGGCCGCGGTCATGTGGTCGTGGCCACCCTACCCTCTGTCACAGTGTGGATGAGAGCTTTCTGCTCTTACCCAATCATGCCTGGAATGCCGCTTGCCACTTGGGTTATTTCTGCTATCTGTCGCTCTCAGCGCCGCAGTGCTAACGGTTTGGCAGATGGGACACTTTTTCTTGGAGTTTGTGTCTTTGGTTTTTGACTCCTGGCCGCCCCGGGCTTGCTGGTGCCGCTCGCCTGCGCCCCGCCGGCCTCCTGGGCACCATGGCCCATCGGCTTCGGTTTCATTTTGGCTCTGGTCGCAGCTACACAGCCCCCGAATCGGAGATCCTAGACCAGGAGAGAGAAGACGACTTTTTCATGGCATTCCACACCCTACCGCGGCGGAGCAGCCCGCACCCCTTCGCTCCCAATGGGGCCGAGGATGGCGGCCCCAGCGGCCTGCAGGAAGGCGTGGGAGCGCTCAAGCGCAGCTCGTCCATGTTTATCCCGCAGCTCCTGGGCACCATCGACGCGCGGCCCACCCGGAGCTCCTCGGTGCAGATCTCCCTGCAGCGCAAAGCGGCCGAGGGGGCCCCCGATGGGTGCGGCCCCGCCGAGGGCCTGGAAGGGGATGTGGGCTGCTCGCCTCGGGGCGGCTGCTCGGAGCCCCCGGAGCCCAGGACCCCTGAGCGCTCCCCACCCAGGGCAGCCCGGGCACCCTGTGCCCAGGTCAATGGCTTGTGCGACCGCCGTGCGCGGTGCCCCATCGCGCTCGAGGGCCGCGAGGAGGCCGAGCGGTCGGGCCGCGGGGTCCGCATCCAGCACCGGGCCTCCAGCGCCGACGTGCGCCAGGTGAGGCTCATGCCCTTCGGCGCCGACGGCCAGGGCGGCCCTTCTGCAGCCGAGCCCAGGCGCTGGTCCTTGCAGCACGTCCCAGATGCTTCTGGAAGTACCGGGAAGCGGTGCTTTGTCTTCCAGCTGCAGCAGCCGCCACCTGGCTCCCTGGGGCCCGGTGGGGACCTCAACTTCGGTTTCACGGGCACCAAGGGGGACAGGTTGGTGAGGTATCCCCGTATTCGCCTGGAAAGGAGCACCTCGCACCCCACGCAGCCTCGAGCCGAGCGCGGGAGCCCCTCGGAAGAGCGAGGGCCCTTGGGACACCCAGAGACGCCGCCTCGGGGCCGCAGGGTGGCTCCCGAAATCCACAGGACGAATTCCATGGAAAGGATGCCACAGGGCCAGGGATGCACCTTTAAAATCAGGCAAGATCAAAATGCTGGGCAACAGCATTTCAGAATTCTTGTGACACGGGGTCCAGAGGACACTCACCAGAGTCCGGAGGAGAATAAGGCCGCCAGCCCCGGGCCCACGGCAGCCGGCCCCCGGGTAAGTGACAAGGGAAGGCCAGGCCGAAGGGGCTGCTTCAAGCCCAGAAAGCTTAGTCTGCAGCTTTATTATAGCAAACTCCATCCTCTTCCAGTCCCGCAGTGGCTCTGCTTCAGGCCTCTGTAACTTTTTGCATAGCCCCGGGTGCAGTGTTTGGTAGAGTCCGGGCAAGTA